GGCTCTCTTCTGTTCCATCAGTCTATTTGCCATCCCTATGTTAATTCTATACTGCCTTAATTACTATAATTTATAATTAATCTTGACATCTTATAGAGCAAGTTCTAATATCTTGGCAATTTTTGGACCTTAATATGTCCACATAAAATCTCAGCTGCTTCTCAAATTCCGCAAAAGTCAAAACAAACAACAAAAACTACTTGGTGAAATTATGATTGAGCTTGCATGCAATTTATAAATTAATTTGGGGAGAACTATTGTCTTTACTGTATTGAGTCTTTCAATCTATGAACTCAGTATCTCTCTATTTATTTAGGTCTTCCTTATTGCCATCCAACAATATTTTATAATTCTCTACATAGAACTGGAACATTAGCACAAGGGCCATGTAATTATGCATACATGTTTAAAATTGTTGTTTTCCTGATGAATGGAAACATTCAACGTTATGAAAGATTTTTATCTCTAGTAATGCTTTTTGGCTGGTTATCAATATAGATGTATTAGCTGTATTAGTTTTCAATTGCTGCTGTAACAAATTACCACAAATTCTGTGGCTTAAAACAATACAAATTCATTATCTTACAGTTCTGCAAGTCAGAAGTCCAAAACAGGTCTCACTGGGCTAAAATCAAGACGTTGGCAAGGCTGCATTCCTTTCTCAAGGCTCTAGGAAAGAATCTATTTCCTCTTGTTTTCCAGATTCTGGAAGCCCCCTTCTTCCGTCTTTATCTGCATCTTTCTACAACTTTCTTCTGTAGTCACATCCCCTTCTGACTGACTCTGAGTCTTCTTTTGCCTCCCTTTTTTGATTACAAGGGACCCACTCAGATAAACCAAGATGATCTTCTATCTCAGGGACCCTGATTTAATCACACTCACAAAATCCCTTTTGGCAAGGAAGGTAGCTTCTATGGTTTGAATGTCTGTGACACGCCCTCCCTCAAAATTCATATGTTGAAATCAATGAGATTAGCGTGCAAGTAAAAAAGGCCCTAGAAAACTCACTGGATCAGTCTCTCAGTCCTAGCATTGGCATTAGCATTCACCTTCAGAGAAATCCTGGCTTTTGCTTTCAGTAACCAATCATTATTCTAGTTTCAATTTACTCTTTATCATCACCAACACAAGCCCTCTCTCCTCTTTTGGTCCCCATGTTTGTCATTTTTCAAGTCTGTCCCTTCCCTTCTCAACCTTTCCCTCCCCTCCCCTCATCTTCCCTTCCCTTCCTCCCTCCTTCCCTCCCTCTTTTCTTTTTTTCTTTTTTCTTTCTTCTTCCTTCCTTCCTCCCCCCCCTTTCTTTCTTTCTTTCATGGGATATGGTAGGCAGAATAATGCCCCTCCCCCAAATATGTCCATGCTCTAATCCCCAGAATGTTACTTAAGATGGTAAAGGGGACTGGCAGGTGTGATTAAGTTAAGGATCTTGAGATGGGGAAATTATCCCAGACTATCTGGTTGGGCCCAATGTAATCACAAAGGTTACTATAAGAGAGACACAGGAGGATTAAAATTAGAGAAGGCATTACAACAAAAGCAGAAATAGGAGAGACATAACTGAGCCAAGGAATACCAGCAAGCTCTAGAAGCTGGAAGAGATTTTGAAAAAAAAAAAGGATTCTCCCTTGGAGCCTCAGAAGGAACAAGTCCTGCCAATATCTTGATTTTTACCCCTGAAAGGATCATTTTGGACTTCCAATCTACAGAACTTTAAGAGAATAAATTCCTGATGTTTCAAGTCAGTAAGTTTGTGGTAATTTGTTACAGCAGCAATAGAAAACTAATACATGAGAGCTGATTTGTCTTTTCAGATAATACTTTCAACCTATAACTAAGAACCTGATTCATTACCTTGTCTTACACAGTTTGGGCGAAGCATCCCTCCTTCCACTACGGGTATATGACAGAGACCTGGCCAATCAGCATATTCAGTGATAGGCATGTGACTCAAACTAATGAGATTATTTCCAGGACTGTTACTGGAATAAATGGGAAAGTCATGTTTTTTTGTCCTGGGACTGCCAGGTTAAGCAAAAGAAATGTATTGATTCCCTTGCTGTTAAGAGTAAGGTGAAAACCCACAAAAACTGAAGGAAAAGCATCAAGTACCAGGCCTCAGGAACTGGAACCAAGACTCATAGCCCTTAAGACACACACTTCCTCTCTTGTTTGCTTGGTTTCTTCTCTTTCCACATGGAAGGCAAGATGATTGTCTGGAGCCTGGGGCACATACATCTTCTTCTTTTTTTTTAATTAAAAATGTTTTTTAATTTTTGGTGGGGGGAGGTAATTAGGTTTACTAATTTATTTATTTTTAGAGGAGGTTCTGGGGATTGAACCCAGGACCTTGTGTATGCTAAGCATGCGCATTGTCTCTTGAGCTATACACTCCCCCCTCTTATCTTTAATAATTCTGACAAAAAGACAAGCAGTACACCTGAGCATACTTATATTAATTTCACAGAAGGACTCTAATGTACTCTGCTTGTGTCATGATAGTCCCAAGTCTTGAAATAATTACTTTTGCTAGGGAAACCATGTTTGATCCAGACTGAGTCATGTTGCCAGGCAATGTGTCAGGCAATGAGGGGGAAAAACACAAACACAAACAACTCGAACAAACCACTACCACCAAGAAAATACCCTGCTCCTTTCTTATAAACTTGTAGTCTAGTGAGGGAGAGAAATCACACAAGTAAATATAGAATTACCATGGTCTATGTCATGAGAGGAAGTACATGGAGACTATGGAAAGGAGAATGATTCATTCCAGTTAAGGGAAACTGATGGTGAATTTAGGTCAGGAGGAAGATAGGAATAAAGATTCTAGGCAGACAGAATAACAAGTTCAAAGTCCCTGTGGTAGAAAGGCTCATCACTCACTGGAAGACCTAAGATAAAGCCAGTATGCCTAGGGAGAGCATGGTGTGACTGAGACTAAAGAAGCAGGCAAGACCATGCACATTATTGTAGGTCCCGTTAAATATTTTATACTTTATCTTAATTGCCTTTAAAAGCCATTTAAATGTCTTAAGGGAGTGGGGAGGGGAGAGGTAGTAGATATGAACTAGTTAGTATTTGGAAAAGATCACTGTGACTGCACTGTAGGGAACAGGCTGGAGCTGGGCCTAAGCAACTGTAAGAAGATACACTGAGTTTTAAATTGATTTCCAACAGACAGAGCTTCATGCATTCCTGCCTCCTACTTTCCCACTAAGTAGGTTATATTGGGGGAAAGTCATTAAAGTAATGAAAGAAGCTTTTAGATGGGTGATTATTTGCTTTGCAAGATGGCTCACTTCTTTATTTCCTTTGCAAATTTTTTTCCCTCTTATCAGTCTGTAATTCGAGTACACCAACTTGCTCTTTAACAGAAGTTAGGACAATCAGGCAACAGGGTCTCTGCACAACCTGTGGGACTGTAAGGATCGGGCTCTGACCATTGTTTAGTTGCTATACCTCAATCTCTAGATGTGTCATCACTCTAAATAGCAACCCAACCCTGATGACTCTCAGATTTATATCTCTAGTCCACATTTCTTCCTGTAACCTCAGTGTCTAAATCTAGTTGTCTACTCAATCTCTCCAGCTGGATGTCTAACAGACTTCCAACTCTCAAGTGAAAAACAGAATTGCTGATTTCTGCCTTCAAAATCATTTCTTCTACAACTCAATTACTCAAAGTTACTCATAATGTCTCTTTTACCTCTTAATCCACATCTACTATATCAACAAATCTTGCAGCTCTACCAAAGTATGTCCAGAATTCAATTCAGTTTTCATCACCTCATTTGTAACTACCCTGGCCCAAACCACTATCTCTATGGCCTGGATTACTGCAACAACTTCCTAACTGATAACAATTTTCACCAACTAATACATATTCTTTTTATCTGGTTCCCTCTATATAACCTTTGGGAGATGGAGGATTTGTCTTTCATTTAGTGCCAAGAACCACAAAGCAATCTCGCAGACGCTCCATAAATACTTGCTGGAAAGAGTATTTTATACCATCGCATGTACAATAATTAATTTATGTTTATGAGTATGTGAAAACTGACCGTTAGGAGACTTTTACAAACCAAAATAAAAACCCTAGAACAAAGCAGTGAATGGAAAGTGGGGTCAGCTGGTTGAAGCAGTTTCCACAAGCTGTCCCGCTTTCCTTAAGCGGACAGGTTTTCCATATATGCCAACATCCCTCTGTTTTGAGCTACTGTGGGTGGAAAGCTCGTTGGACTCTGCACCTCACCCTTAGCCGACAGCCTAATCACCTCATCCTCGTCCTGCCTTGGCGATGGGCGAGCCCACGCGGCTTAGAGCTGGAAGACACTCTCGGGCACCTCCAAGCCCTCACAGACACTGGCTCCTAGGCCAAACGTGCGACTTTCATCGTACAGGTAAGGGGCAAACTTGTTGACCTTCTCCACTGTACTAATAACTTAAAGTCAAAAGGCAAAAGTAATAAACCTGCGGAGACTGAACCGTCAACCTGGTTACTACTTCAGAATCTACCAGTTAAGACAAGCAAGTCCCCCCAGCCTCTGGGGATGATGGGAAACGAAATCAGCGTCTATTGTCCCGACCCAAAATGGCAGGTTATTCGAACCGCGTGTAGAGGTGAAGACACTGCCACTGGGAGAAGTGACGATAAGAAAGAAGAATGAAAACAACATTTTCCTAATCCAACAGAGAGGCGGCAATTATACGAGAGAAAGTAACCAGGGAGGGCGAAGTAGAAACAGCGGGCCGGGCGAGGCCAGCCAAAGGCGACATTGACCTAATCCAAGATGGCGTGGGAGGTTATTACCGGCAGCGCAAAGAAGGCGGTGATTACCCTGATCCAAGATGGCGGCGGCAACTGAGGCGAGCGGAGGGGCAAAGAGCGCCGCGAGAGTCTTTGCCCTCCTCCAAGATGGCGGCCGACGTGGGTACTGTCCCTGGCTCCGCCCCGCGGCCTCGGCCCCGCCTCCCCCTCGTCCCTCCCTCCACCGCCTTGCAGTGCCCAGTCCGGGCGGTGGTGCTCGCGCGAGGAGACTGGCCTCACGGCACTTGACATGGCGGCAGCGGCGGCGACTGCAGCGACGAAGGGGAATGGGGGCGGCGGGGGCCGGGCTGGAGCCGGCGAAGCTAGCGGCTCGCGGAAGAAGAAGGGTCCGGGGCCTCTGGCCACGGCATACCTGGTTATCTACAATGTGGTGATGACCGCGGGGTGAGGCTGGGGGCCCGGGAAGGCGGGGGATAGAGCTTGGGCCGGG